GGTTTGCGAAGAATCTTTTCTTGATTTTACTCACCAATTCGGTGCTTGCTTGCATTCTAGGATTTAAATTTATCTACGTAAAAAGAAGGAGTGGGGAAAGGAAGTGAAAGAAACAAACTTTTGAACTTTAACGATACGGAAGCCGTTAATGTGCAGATTACCTAGATACTCTGCAAATTACCTAGGTAATTTGAGAAATTGAACAATTTTCGCAGCTTTAACAGATTACCCTAGTTAATCTGCAGATTAGCTAGGTAATGCGCACATTAACGGATTTCGAGCTTTAGCGGTAACATATAAATCAGTTATCCGAAATATCAATTTTCTGAACCACCCAGTTCCCAACTGATTCGGATAAACGACGCTCTACTGTATATGGATATTGGGCGATTACTGGAACAAATTCACAATATAAAGGAAGTGTGACATGTACACAATTAAAGACACTGCCAAATTATCAGGCTACGAGAAAGCTAATTGGATACAAATTAATTTGTCAAATATCATTTAATTATTTAATTAGCCTTATAGCTCAATAATTCAGCAGTCTATTTGTCTTTAATGATCAAGTTTATGAAGAAAAACTTCATACTCATTTGTATTCTTGCCCAATTTGCACACCCTGGCAAAATGCAGTTATTGAAGCTGCTGGGAATGGTTAAAAATTAAGACAAGTAAAGAATTTTCAGTCCTGCCACAAATACATATTGATTATTGACAATCTGTGACATGCCATAACAAGCAAAAATTTAAAATACAGTAGAACCTTGATTATCCGGACTTCTTTTATCCAAATTTTTGATTATCTGGATTGTTCAAAATAAACAAAAATTTTATGAATTTGCTGATTTGCACTTGGTGAATTATGATACTGTTTATGTACATGATGGAATGCATAACTTTTTTGTTTCAACAACATCTCACCCAGCACAGTGGTTGTAAACTCTTAAATATATTTTACATTGTAATAAAAATATAACTTGACATACGTATTTATAAATAATTTATATTCAAATTACATCATTTCTATGACCAAGGACGGCGTAAGGCATGAGCGATGTGGGCCACCATTTATGCCTCGTGGTCCAAAGGGCCTCACGCTTTGAAGGTTTATGCATTATTTAAAAGCCGCGAATGCAACAAAAAAATTTTACTTGTCATAAAACGATAAATAGTTTGTCAAATTTTTATTTATAAAAATGCAGTTTCAACTGCTTTTTATTTTATAAAATCCATCTTCTTGCGCCATCAGAGGGCCTTTTAAACAATAGGTAATCTGTTAGCACTGGTCAGTAGTAGTCCAAATTTGATACGAACGTGTTTATTGAAAATTTGATCACGATATAAATACAGTATTTATTTTTAATATTACCGATATGTCATCGAAAAGAAAACATGTTGTATTATCATTAAAAGGCAAATTAAAATATTTGTTTCGATTATCCGAATTTTTCCTTATCCAGACTACCTTCATCCCCAATTAGTCCAGATAATCGAGGTTCTACTGCACTAATAAGCAGGCTTAAAATTAATAAATACAAATGTATTATGACAGTTTATGAATTAATTATACTTTCTATTTGCAAAATTTCTTCAACCTTAACACAAAATAAAAAAAAAAAAAATGAACTTTTTAAGAAATTTTAAAGATTTCCTGGATGAAAAGAATTTCCTGGGTTAAAAAGCAGTTGATATTCCAGAATCCCATTAGAGAAACCCTAATGCCAACATCATAGAAATCCGCCCACTCTTGAAACCATGTCATTACTATCATCAAACTTCTTTTCAGAGTGATCTCCCTTCAAATTTAGAAACAAGTGATAATTGCTTGTTGCAAGATTGTAATGAATGTTCCAAAACTTCCTGTGTGATACAAGCAGATTGTAGTAGGACATTGTTTTGCATGTCCATAATGTCTTTTCTATAAATGGAAACAAGTTGCCAATCAATTTCAATTGCAGTTTCTTCTTTTGTGCAATGGAATTGAATTACTGAATGAATCTGGCACTTGGTGACATTACTAATTGACATGGCCATTTTAAACACAATGCAAACATAACAATGATGCAATCATGTCACTTCTGTCACACGACTCAGGTCCCAACAGATGCAGCACTGCCGAAAGCCATGAAAATAAATTGTTTTTGGATTTCTACTTGCCTTGTTTCTTTACTTTGCAAACAAGCTTGGTATGTGGTGATCAGATAGGTAGGTAGAGTTAATGAGAGAAACGAATTAACATTTTCAGGAATTATCAATATACTGTGCATGACACTTGTGTTATATTCTAACGTAAGTAGTCTGCTTATTTTGATATGCTTTGGAGTAGAATTTTTTGAGAAAGTATAATTTATAAAAAAATTTATATGCATGCTAAATTCATAAGTTTTGTTTTCATACTCCTTACTTACATAAAACATTATCATTAGCTATGATGTTATGTGCATGTATGCAGGTATTTTGCATACATGCACGTAACATCAGAAAATGCAAAATAATTGTAGGATGTTTTTAAAGCAAAAAATATTTTGTTTCAAACTACAAATCTAGTGCTTTCAAATTTCTAGAAAAATGAATGAATTCTTTGACTTTACACCAGGATATGTGTAACACAGATACGTAAAATCTATACCCAAATTATAGCTTTTAACTTGCTATATATTATTAAAAAACTGTTAATTTGTTAATAACTGGATTAAAACTAAATACAGTAGAACCTCGATTATCCGGACCTCTATTATCCGGATTTTCGATTATCCGGATTGTTCAAAATAAACAAAAATTTTACGAATTTGCTGATTTGCACTTGGCGAATTACGATACTGTTTATGTACGTGATGGAATGCATAACTTTTTTTGTTTCAACAACGTCTCACCCAGCACAGTGGTCGTAAACTCTTAAATATATTTTGCGTCGTAATAAATATATAATTTGACATACGTATTTATAAATAATTTATATTCAAATTATATTATTTCTATGACCAAGGGCGGCGTATGAGCAACGTGGGCCACCGCCTATGCCTCGCGGTTCGAAGGGCCTCGCGCCTCGAAGGTTTATGCATTACTTAAAAGCCGCGAACGCGACGAAAAAATTTTACTCGTCATAAAACGATAAATAGTTTGTCAAATTTTTATTCATAAAAATGCAGTTTCAACTGCTTTTTATTTTATAAAATCCGTCTTCTTGCGCCACCAGAGGGCCTTTTAAACAATAGGTAGTCTGTTAGCGTTGGTCAGTAGTAGTCCAAATTCAATACGAACGTTTGTTTCTTGAAAATTTGATCACGATTTAAATACAGTATTTACTTTTAATATTACCGATATGTCATCGAAAAGAAAACGTGTTGTATTATCATTAAAAGACAAATTAAAGTATTTTTTCGATTATCCGGATTTTTCCTTATCCGGACTACCTTTATCCCCAATTAGTCCGGATAATCGAGGTTCTACTGTATGTAAATTTATGTTTTGAATTTAACTTACTCTGTTTAAACTGCTTTCTTTTCATAGTTAGCTATGGGAAAGATGATGGAACAAGGTCCAGTACTCATTATTACCTTTCAGTCACAACAAATTATGGTAGTTGTTGATTCATCTGGTAAAGTTGTGGAAGGAGATAGGGTTAGTAATTTTTAATTATTATTACATTTTTTTTTGATATTGCTAAATTCTAACATATTTTAATTTTCTAGGATAAAATCATCCGAATGCATTACGTTTGGGTACTGTGTAGGGATCAAACTGAATTAGATCATAAAGTGGCTTGGAAACTTATGGACTTATCTGCAAATAGTGCACAACAATGGTTGTAAAATGATGAGCCTTAAATTATAACTAGGAGCTGAAGATTTCAGAAGGCCAGTTAAATACAAGATTTAATGTTCCAGAAAATAAAAAATTAGTTCTGGCAGGAGAACTGAATATTGTATCTACACCAATATTGCAATGTCTCATACTGGATTAAAATATGAGAATATTTTAATTTGAAATTACACATGTTATGTTGTAATTGTCTGAATTTAAATTTTGTATAGTGCAGATGTTTTAGTACTAGTATTTACAACAATAAATGTTAATTTATATTTTGATAGTATCAACTTCATTTATTTTAGAAAACAAATTTTTTATTTATATATGTTTCCAGAATTTTCCATATTTGCTGAATTTTATTTGAAAACAAGGAAATTCTCAAAAGTTATATACAGGGTAATGCAGCCCATTGAGACATTGTATGTAAATAAATATGTCTGGAGATAGAGCATTATCATATAGAGCAGACATGGCCAACAAGTTGATCAAACATAACATGGCATACTAAAATGAGAAAAATTCTATAGTTCAACCAAATAGTTTATTATGACAATAGTGGAAACTTCTGCTGAAAACTGGCGACAAGCTTCAGCCCGCCATCTAGTGGTTTGAGGAGATAACTACACTTCACTCCATTTGTACCACGTGTATAAGGAGACGTTTTTGGGTATTAATATAGATATAGTAAGATATATATATAATAATATATTAATATTAATATAGTTTTGAACATTTTTGTATCTCATAATAATTATAATGGCTGGAAGAGGGGTTATTTGTGCTATGTATGGCTACTTTAACTATAAGATACAAAGTGATCACAAGTCGTTTTACAGATTCCCTAAAAACAAACAAGTGTAAGTAAATTCATAAGCAATTAGATTGTTTTCATTTATATCAACATTCCTTATTTAAAATATTGTTATCATTCAACGTATGTGTTTATATTGATTTTCAGATGCACTCAGTGGGTTGTTAAAAGCAGAAGGTCCGACTTAGACAATATTTTAAAAACAAAAGGGCCAGAATATTTAAATAGAAACTACGTTGTGTGTTCTGACCATTTTACGGAAAAAGATTTCAGAAACAAAAATCTCTTAAGCCAAGGGTATTTAAAGTTGTTTGTTATTTGTTTACTTAATGTTATTTAATGGTATTCTTCACCTATTTTTTGTTCCTTTCACCGAATTAGAAGTTTACTATCTAATATTGAACTTATTGCTAATTATGCACACACAGATTTTATTTAGTTTCCTATCACTATACTTCACTAAAAATTTGTTTTACATATGATACAAGATCTGGCCTGGTGCAGTTCCCTCATTATTAATTTATAATGCCAAGCAGACCACGATGAGAAGTAGCCCCCAAGAAAACTAGAAGAACCTTCAAACGTAGAAATGTCACTTGATTTAGAAACAGTACCAACAGCTGCCCAGGAAATTAGCAATGAACTATCTTCAACAAAAGACATTAGAAAATGTTGTTCAGATCTGGCAAAAAAATTTAGAAATTCACAGAAGCAATTATCAAAATATAAATTATTGACAAGAAGCCTGAAAACAAAGTTATGGCAGCTGCAAAAAGAACGATCAAAGTGTACTTGTGAAAACAATGTTGGTGATAGTGTTGCTCAAAACTTTATAAATTTACAACTAAAACTAAAGAACCGTAAAGCTCAGGGTTGAAGATATTCACATAATGATAAGAATTTTGCTTTGGCTTTACATTATTGCTCACCTAGATCATACAAGTTTATGCAAAAACATTTTTCTTTGCCTAGTACTAGGTCATTAAGAAGCTGGTTACAAAATGTTGAAGTAAAGCCTGGAGTAAATAAACTGGTTCTAAGTTTATTAGAAATAAAAGCCAAGAAAATGAAAACAGAGGAAAAAGTTATTTCATTGGTGTTTGATGAGATGTCCATCAATTCATCATTGTCATATGATCCTCAAACTGATTACTTAGAAGGCTATGAAGATTTTGGTGAAGATATTGCATCACAGCCAATAGAAGCACCTGCCCGTCATCAATGTGACCAAGCAATGGTATTTATGATTAAAGGTTTATACTGCAATTTTAAACAAATGGTTACTATCTAACAAAAAATGCTATGCCAGGACATCGCATCAAAGATTTGTTGTGCAATATTATAAAGTGTCTTCAGGAAGTAGGTTTAGTTCCTAAAGCAATTGTTTGTGACCAAGGTGCTAATAACATGAAAATGAGAAAGTTGTTAGGTGTGACTGCAGAAAAGCCATTCATTGAAATTAATGATGAAAAAATCTATTTTTTTCATGATTTACCTCATTTGATTAAGTCAGTGAGAAACAATTTGAAAAAATATTACTTCTATTGTAATGGTAAACTATGCAGTTGGCCTCACATAGACCCATTCTATCATAAAGATTCCAAAATGATTCCACGATTGGCTCCAAAGTTGACAAAAAAATGCATAACACTTCCCCCATTTTCATGTATGAGAGTATGTTTAGCTGTCAGAGTCTTAAGTCACTCTGTAGCTTCTGGAATCTTAGTGCATGTAGCATTCAATTCTCTACCATCAACTGCTGTGAACACAGCAGAATTTCTTGAAATGTGTGACACATTATTTGATATATTTAATTCTTCTAGTTGCAAAAGTCCAAAAGAGTATAGAAAACCTTTAAGTAATAATTCAAAACATCTGCAAAAGCTAGATGAAATTATTGAATGTTTGAGGAAGCTGATAGTCTTAAATAAAGGCAAATGTAAACCTATTTGTATCCAAGGCTGGATAGATAATATTATTGCATTGAAGTTACTGTGGTCAGAGTTACATAATGATTATGGTTTTCTATATTTGTTAACCAGGAGACTTACACAAGACTGCATTGAAAACATATTTTCAATCATTCGGGGAAAGGGAGGTAATAATGTAAACCCAGATGCAACTAAATTCCGCAGTGCCTTAAAGAGTGTAATGGTAAATCAATTGTTTACTGCTTCTGATGACAGTAATTGTGAAATTGATGCTGCAACATTTTTGTTAACACATAGTGATTTGCTGAAGTGTAATTTCAAAGTTAATGTCAATGAATAGTGTGTCCAGGACAATCATATAATTGGTTACGATGTAGCACAAACAAATGCAGANACTGTTTGATGCTTTTTACAATTATGTTGAAAAAATATGGAAAAAAGACTATTTATTATTTATAATTTCTAGTTTTACATTTTAGTTTTCACTAAAAGCCGAATACTAATTTTATGTTTATTTTGTATCGTGTATTTTGGTTTATGTATTCTTAGTGTTAAACATCCATAGGAGTGGTGCACTTATTCTAATAAAAAACAAGAGAAAGAAACCACTACACGGACTTTCTCCCATAACAAAAAATGTGTAGAGCGTGAATCTGCTAGCGTTATTACTCTATCACATCAGACGAGACAACGAATGTTCTTAATAGAAACTGCCAAATTGAAGCCGAATTCAAAACGCCACCACTCAACAAGATCAAAAAATAAAAATAAGAATATTACGTAAGACGAGATCTATTACCCCCTACCCCTGAGTAAGAAATTGTAAGAAATCCTTGACCCCCACCCACCCCAAAATATCTTACGTAATTTATGGACGGCCCCTAATGCACCATTTGAGCGCAAAAAATTGTTGAGGAAAAATTTTCTGTTAGCGAACCCTTTGTTAAATATTTCGAATATCACCACTGCACAGAAGTTTTGGATTGTCTTGTATACTTGTATATAGGGCGGTATATCTTGAATTGTTGACGTCCCTGTCAACAAAGGCGTTCCTGCAAACATTTAGAATATTTGTGACAAGAAGAGGACGCCCTTCTGTTATTTATAGTGATAACGGCACAAATTTTGTCGGTGCCGCCAAAATTTTCTCTGTGGCGACACTTAAAGAGATCAAAGATGAAATTCTTGTTCAAGACATTACCTGGAAGTTCATTCCTTCAGCTTCGCCATGGTGGGGTGGCTGGTGGGAAAGGTTGGTAGGATGTATAAAGCAGATTATGAGAATTTGACTTATGAATTTTATGAGGAGAATATTGTGAAATATGACGAGCTTCGTTAACCTACGAAGAACTCTACACAATTATCTGTGAGGTAAAGAGTTTGATGAACTCTCGACCACTTACTACTCTCTCGGAAGATATTGAAGATTTAATTCCGTTGACTCGTAATATGTTTCTGCAAGGAGTAANAAACTACGTTGTGTGTTCTGACCATTTTACGGAAAAAGATTTCAGAAACAAAAATCTCTTAAGCCAAGGGTATTTAAAGTTGTTTGTTATTTGTTTACTTAATGTTATTTAATGGTATTCTTCACCTATTTTTTGTTCCTTTCACCGAATTAGAAGTTTACTATCTAATATTGAACTTATTGCTAATTATGCACACACAGATTTTATTTAGTTTCCTATCACTATACTTCACTAAAAATTTGTTTTACATATGATACAAGATCTGGCCTGGTGCAGTTCCCTCATTATTAATTTATAATGCCAAGCAGACCACGATGAGAAGTAGCCCCCAAGAAAACTAGAAGAACCTTCAAACGTAGAAATGTCACTTGATTTAGAAACAGTACCAACAGCTGCCCAGGAAATTAGCAATGAACTATCTTCAACAAAAGACATTAGAAAATGTTGTTCAGATCTGGCAAAAAAATTTAGAAATTCACAGAAGCAATTATCAAAATATAAATTATTGACAAGAAGCCTGAAAACAAAGTTATGGCAGCTGCAAAAAGAACGATCAAAGTGTACTTGTGAAAACAATGTTGGTGATAGTGTTGCTCAAAACTTTATAAATTTACAACTAAAACTAAAGAACCGTAAAGCTCAGGGTTGAAGATATTCACATAATGATAAGAATTTTGCTTTGGCTTTACATTATTGCTCACCTAGATCATACAAGTTTATGCAAAAACATTTTTCTTTGCCTAGTACTAGGTCATTAAGAAGCTGGTTACAAAATGTTGAAGTAAAGCCTGGAGTAAATAAACTGGTTCTAAGTTTATTAGAAATAAAAGCCAAGAAAATGAAAACAGAGGAAAAAGTTATTTCATTGGTGTTTGATGAGATGTCCATCAATTCATCATTGTCATATGATCCTCAAACTGATTACTTAGAAGGCTATGAAGATTTTGGTGAAGATACTGCATCACAGCCAATAGAAGCACCTGCCCGTCATCAATGTGACCAAGCAATGGTATTTATGATTAAAGGTTTATACTGCAATTTTAAACAAATGGTTACTATCTAACAAAAAATGCTATGCCAGGACATCGCATCAAAGATTTGTTGTGCAATATTATAAAGTGTCTTCAGGAAGTAGGTTTAGTTCCTAAAGCAATTGTTTGTGACCAAGGTGCTAATAACATGAAAATGAGAAAGTTGTTAGGTGTGACTGCAGAAAAGCCATTCATTGAAATTAATGATGAAAAAATCTATTTTTTTCATGATTTACCTCATTTGATTAAGTCAGTGAGAAACAATTTGAAAAAATATTACTTCTATTGTAATGGTAAACTATGCAGTTGGCCTCACATAGACCCATTCTATCATAAAGATTCCAAAATGATTCCACGATTGGCTCCAAAGTTGACAAAAAAATGCATAACACTTCCCCCATTTTCATGTATGAGAGTATGTTTAGCTGTCAGAGTCTTAAGTCACTCTGTAGCTTCTGGAATCTTAGTGCATGTAGCATTCAATTCTCTACCATCAACTGCTGTGAACACAGCAGAATTTCTTGAAATGTGTGACACATTATTTGATATATTTAATTCTTCTAGTTGCAAAAGTCCAAAAGAGTATAGAAAACCTTTAAGCAATAATTCAAAACATCTGCAAAAGCTAGATGAAATTATTGAATGTTTGAGGAAGCTGATAGTCTTAAATAAAGGCAAATGTAAACCTATTTGTATCCAAGGCTGGATAGATAATATTATTTATTGCATTGAAGTTACTGTGGTCAGAGTTACATAATGATTATGGTTTTCTATATTTGTTAACCAGGAGACTTACATAAGACTGCATTGAAAACATATTTTCAATCATTCGGGGAAAGGGAGGTAATAATGTAAACCCAGATGCAACTAAATTCCGCAGTGCCTTAAAGAGTGTAATGGTAAATCAATTGTTTACTGCTTCTGATGACAGTAATTGTGAAATTGATGCTGCAACATTTTTGATAACACACAGTGATTTGCTGAAGTGTAATTTCGAAGTTAATGTCAATGAAAAGTGTAGCCAGGACAATCATATAATTGGTTATGATGTAGCACAAACAAATGCAGAGCATTATGTGATGAGATGGGCATGCAGCAAATTACTCCATACCGAGTGTAAAAATGTATTATCATCTTTTAATAATGATTATGATATGGGAAATTTTCACATAGAAATGAAAAAATATGATGACAATTGCAGAATGCTGTATCCAAATGGGTGTGGGGAAAAAATTATCTTCAGAAATGTCAGCAATATTTCAAAACAATTTTAATATATTTTTGTTACAGAGCCCATATGGAATTAAAACTAAGTTAGTTAATTATTTCTTAAAGAATGCAAATATTAAAGGTGTTTGTGACAATTGTATTAAATTATTGGCAGATAAATATTTCAAAGTCCTTATTAAAGCATATGTGACAAAAAATAATGATTCGTCTGAAAGTTTTCTGAGAACAAAAAATGCTAAATTAAAAAAGATTGCACATATGTAATAACTGTATTATCCATGACCTGTATGATCAAACTGTGCACATAATACATTTTGGTGTTCAATGTGTTCTAATTTAATAAAATGAACTGAGGTTTTAATTTAAAAAATCTGACTCATTGCATTTGATTTGTTTTGTTACTATTATTCCTTCCTTTGAATCACTATCCATCAACGTTTCCTACTAAATAAAATTATAATTCACGTTTTAAGATCATAAAATAAAGACAAAAAGATGATAAAATATTTATTTCGTTGCATTTTTGCAAGTTTTGTTAGACTTTACATAGTCTGCGGTGTTAGTGTTCTCCTCAAACCACTAGATGTCGCTAGTTCCCGCTGTCTCCACTACGGTACATGCTAATTCACGAGAGTTTCCACTATTGTCGTATAAGCTATTTGGTTCAACTCAAGGACTATATACTAGTTTAAAGTCCTTGGGTTCAACTATTGCTAGTGCTCTGCTGTGATATGAGTGCTCATTTATGTTTTTGATTATGGCACAGTGAAAAGAACAGATAATGAGAAACAAGGTAATGGAGCATGCTGTTTGTGTTGATGGTCTCTCTTGTTTTAGAAATTTTATTGTTACATCCTAAACAATTTCAGTTATGTGCAAAACGAGTTTATCAAAGAAACAAAACTTATGAATTATAAGACGAATTGATGTAAAAACCTTTTTGTTACGGTAAATGCTATTGTTTAGCAGCTTTACCAAAAAAGGTAATCTGAAATATCAATTATAGTGCAATAAACAAATATATTTCGGAGCATTTTTATAAAAACGGGTTAAAAACGTAAAAAAGTGCAGATCATGATCTAATAATGGACGATACGGTGATTGCTTTTCCAAACGTGGCAAAATGGTACCATAGAGATTGTCGTTCTTGTGCCGCAGTCAATAATTACCGTACATTGGTAGGGGAGGAAGAAGTAAGGTAAAGATGAGACATTAAAGCTGCTGCATAATCAAGGGACAGTATGTTAACCTGGAAACCCATTCTGAGTTTTATCATAAGCTAACGAATAAGATTTCTATCGGAACCACATGATTGGCGTTTAATCAACTGTGAAAATAGAGCGGTTGCGGCCGACGTTTTCAACGCGAAAACGTGTACGTTGGACGTTCAGCGCCGCTTTCCTGTGAGCCTAGAAGTTTGACAATGGCGTGTGGAACGTCGAGCATGATTCCACTAACGTTCCAAACGCCATTGTCAAACTTCTAGGCCTACAAGAAAGCGGCGCTGAACATCCGACGTACACGTTTTCGCGTTGTAAACGTCAGCCGCAACCTCTTTAATGCTATTCTGAGCCATACGTTTAGTTTTCGGTTCCGATAGCCATATGCGA